ATGATCTTACGTCCCAGCTGTGTGTCCTGCACCTGCAGTATTACTACGTGGTAGCAAGAAAGAGAGTAGCGATTAGAGCCTCCCTTCTGTTTAACTAACGTACAGTATCACAGATTTAACAACAGAGGGTGACACATCACTAAGAAAGATGAGAAATGAAAAAAAAAAAATAAATTACCCAGTGTTTACATAGTGATTCATGGCATTTTTTCATCAAGTGTGTACTGCAGGCCCGTGCTTGAGGACTTGGAGGATGGAGTAAAATTACCCTCACTCCAAAATCCGCTACTTGCTCTGATGAAAGGCATTATAACCAGCACCAGTGCCTGAGGTTATTGCCCTTATTATTCATTAAATAAGTTGCCTTTTTTGTCCCTCCTGAAGAATACTCCATCTTGCTCTCATCTACTGTGGAAAGCTGTGAAAAAGAAAAATTTCCCTGGAGCTGTTGTGCCCACCCTCTGCTCACCTGGCAGTGCTTACTGCTGGAGCAGCTCTGCGGGTGCTGCAGCCAGCAGCTCCTCTACTTCTTGTAAGGTACCTGGAAGAACCTCAAGCTGAGGTAAGCGTGAGCTTGTCCTTACTCTGTGTAGCATTTTTATTTACGGTATTGGAATTTATAACTTTAAAAACTTGGCTTATAGTCAAAATATCTTAAAACAAGTTATTACAATAGTTTTCATTGATTCAGTTCCTGTGCTTGAACTTGTCAGTGTGTTGGTTTTGTGTGTAGCCACAGAAAAGACATTCTGCCCTTCTGGTTCAATGTAATTACCCAAGTCTGACTTTCTCAGACTCTTTATTTTGTCTTTAGACAAATCTCTCACTTCTATGCATTTTTAGTAGGATTTTTAAAACTAAATTTATTTATCAATAGAAAATGTAGTAGTGGGAAGCAAAAATACTCTCTGCTTTGGAAAACAGAGATATAAAATTAAAACCTGCCGTTTTCCAGAGCAGGACAGAGTGGTTTCCAACTCCTGACTTCTGAAAGCAAACGGGGACAGGGAAATGAGTTTGTAGTTGCAAGAACAAAGAGCCATAGTGTTCTTAACCTTGAGAAACCGTTAGAAAAAACTAACATAAACCTGGGTGCATTGAAAATGAGCTCTGCTGGGTGGGACACAAGACTTGTACATGAAGGTCTTGTTTCCCCTGAACGCAGCTGTCTTGTCTTCTCCTGGTATCGCTGAGAATTGTTAGGCAGCTCATTTGAAAATTTGGTCTGTTAGAGTGTAACTGAATTAATTCCAGTATTGACCCAGGACCGCATTAATTATATCTGGGCCTTAATAGTTTTTCAAAAAGACAAATCATTTTTCATTGATGTTACAAATCTGCCTAGGTGCTACTGTCATCGTAGCGTGGAGCATATAGCGCTAAACCCGAAGACTTGCTGTATACACAGCAGGTCTTTTGAAGCAACGAGTTTAATTGCAGAGTACAAGAATGCCAGATCCTGACACGTTAATGTAAGGATTTATAGTGCATATGAAGCCATTCAAAAGGATCTCTAGCGTTTTTGTGACCAAGTCTGTGGCAGCTTGATTGTGGAGTATAGTCAACTGAAAGCTAAGTCAGTCCAAGGGGAAGCATTCATTGGCTGTGTTTCTTTGATCCAGCTAATTGTTTTACCGACACCTGGACTGCTAATTAATTGCCCAGCCTTCACAAATTAGGGACTGTTGTCTCTCATTCCAAGTGGGAAGTTAGCTATAGGCAGCCATGGCATTCCCCATACGTGTTATGGCTCAGTACTTTCCCTGGTCCTTAGTCCTTAGCTGCATGATGAATGAATGTTTGGCACCAAGACAACTGCAAAGCCAGTAAGCACGTCGCTGGGACTAAATCTGTCACTGGGGTCAGAAAACATGTCCTAATTTGAGAAAGGAGAGAATGTCCATAGAAAGGTGTCGGTACTGCAGGTCGCCCGTTCAGCATCATTTAACGTCAGTGCCATCGTCTTGTTGGTGAAGTTCATGGGGAACATGACCCAGACTGTTCCCGCCCTTGGACCTGCCTAGGACAGGGGACCTTCTCATTTTATCCGAATGGCAGTACTAGAAGAATTTTAGGATGCATTTTTCATTTCGTGTACTGTCTTAAGGGCAGCACTGTTCTCAGCAGTTCAGTAACGACTGGCAGAAATCCAGATGCTGCTGGGGCCAAAGGATAGCTTGAGTTAAGTCCAACCTGATTTATAAATTTGTGCACCTTTGTTTCAAGACTTAGTGTACCTCAGAAGGAAAAGAAAATCCTTAATCATAAGGATATGAAAAGTCATTAAATGATTATTTGCTAAATTATAGCATTGAAGTTAGTTTAACAATGAATAAGGGTACTAAGAGTTCCGAAGTGTTTGGAGTCAACTTGGATATTTCCTTTTTTCACCATCAGTTTCTCTATCTGTGAAAACGTTTTCAAGGACTTACTCTTGATTGCTTTGATTTCCCAACTGCTATTTCAGAGCTGTAATCTTATCTCCCATCTTATAGTCACTGCTTTAACAGGGAAATTCAGAAATACACTGAAACACATCCCAAAAATTATTGGACATCTTAGGAACTGTTAATATTGGTGGATGGTCTTGATATCTACATGCTGGTTTTGTGCCTTGTTACTTGCATGGGTGGCCCTATAAAACTGTGTCTTATTTCTGCATGGGAAGAAGCTAACTGTTTTGCTAACTCGTTGCAGTGAGGTACCTGATTTATCAGGGAAGGCTGTGACAGGGGTTTGGGACTGAGCTAAAATGATCATTGTTACTGCGTTTTCCTGCAGCAGTTTTTTATGTGTAGCCAAGACTAGCGCCCGATTGTTGTTCCCTAGTCCTTTACTGAACATTTAGCATGTTACTAAGCTCCCTGGCTCTCTTTCATTGCATTGGATGCACTCTGGCATCAGAGAGAATGAATCCAACTGACTCAATACTTTTAAATCACATCTTTAGAGGAGAGGAAATTCATGCTTTGGTTAGGTTATGGAAGAGAAACGTTTTAGCTGTAATCACTCCTACAGAATAAGTTTATGCTTTGCGTAAGAGTAATGCAGTTTGCAGTGTGACAGTGGGTTTCTGCTGTGGAAAAGCAGCCCTGACAAATAACCTCTTTCTCCAGATGATGCAGCTTCTTTGTAGCTACAACTTGGTAACTTCTAGGTGTAAAAATACCATGTGAGAGAGAAACCTGAGTGAAAACAAATGAGGTTTCCTGTGAAGCTGAGTCAGCTGCGCTATTGCACCTTTCTTGGTCGCTGAAAATAGCCAGGATTTGTCCTGCTAGCTTGCTTTATTTCTTTGCCCAGACCTTCTGATGATGCCTCTTAAATTACACACCTGCAACTGCAGACAGAGAAATTTGCAGCGTATCTGTAGTGACCTGCCTTGACTACACAGTGAGTAAAATGCTACTGAACTTCCCACCATTTCAACTGCCCACAGGAACTATCTTATTTCCTTCAGGCAATTTATGTCTTGTTGCATAGGCTTGCTTCTACGAACAGCTTGAATTTTCTGTATTATTATCAATGCTATGAAGTAAAAGATCTTTTTTTTTTAAAAAAAAAAGTTGAGCATATTTAAGGAAAAAAAATAAAAAAGCATATTTTTCCAAAGTGTAGGGATTTGACATTTTCAGTTCTCATTCTGTTTATCTCCTCATCTCTCTGTTTAGACAGCTGTTACTCATAGAATGGTTGAGGTTGGAAGGGACCTCTGGAGATTGTCTTCTCTAGGTCCCGTTGGACTAGACCATAACATTAGGATCAGCTTTCCTCTCGCCCCCTTCTTCTCCCCCAAAAGTAAGCCACAATGGTAAAACTTCAGTTCTGGCACACCTCCATTTCCGTTATATTTGTTAATTTTTGTACTCAAAGGGTAGATTACAGCTCTACAAAACTACAACTGCCAAGCACTAGCACAAACACAGAGCCGCTTTTGTTCTGCACTGTAAACAATTTCAGAGCGTGGTCAGACCCCTCTTCCGTTAGAGGCAGCGGGGTCTGTCCCCAACAGAGCTTTCCCAAGGGCTACCCTAGTCAAGTCTTTCTGACTGATTTTCCATTTCCCCTAAGCATGGGCAACTGCACATGGCAGCCCTGAGGCTGGCTTCGAGCACACGGAAGGAGAAAATTCCATTTAGATCCTTGCCAGCTTAAAAACACGGAAGCAATCACCGCAGCTAGGGCTGAGGGAGAGGCTGCTGACACGTACAGCAAGAGTGGGGCTCAGAGGGGTTGCAAAGTGAGGGCTGCTGCTAAAACTCTCTTCAAGAAGTCATTAGCTGGGGGTGTTGGAGTGTCACATGGATAAATCTCATGGCAGGGACAGGGTTAGGCTGCGGTGCCCAGGACAGCGGGGTCCATCTCCACCAGATTCGCTGCTCATAAGTCTTGTCGGCCACTCCATTTGCTAGAACGGTGCTGATAAGTACTTGGTTATGTTTTAGGCTGGGAAAGTCACATCATTCTTTAGGGGAAGCCCTTCTATAACATTGCCATTCCTTTTTCTGTGATGATGCTCTAAATGGTTCTAATGCCGTGTTCAACAAATGTTTGCAGCAAAACTCATGTAAATTCCGGTTGTTAGGTCAATTTCTCAGCATAGACAAGACTGCTGGAGACGTTAATTATGAACCTTCTTTCTAATATAATTAGTTATTGATTAATGTTTGATAAGCTGAGATTTTTTTTTTTTTTTAAAAAAAAAAAGAGAACATTGTGAAGAAAACAAGGATCGATTTCTTTTACCACAGGAAAATCTTGATAACTCAGGAAATAACTCCTAGTGGAGAATTCTAGACTTCCTAACTCTTCTTTTTCCCCATTATTCTGCTCATGACCTGCAATATGAATGCTCAACTGTTGGCAAATAACTTTTCAGGAGGAACTGACTCAGAGTAACTAAGAAAGAGGGTTTTGTTTTTGAAGGTCTCATTTAACCGTGCACCTTTTACAGCCAGGCAACAACAGAGGGCAATAGATCTCTGTGAAACATCGCGTCTTCAGAAAGGTTTCTGTTTGATGACACTGATGGCAATTTTGGCAGCTCTTTTCACTGCCTCACAGGGATCATCCAGACACTGCTGAAATGTGTCTGCGTGAGCCAGGAGTGTCTCGCGGCCCTCCGATAGCTCAGCCAGCATGGTGAGGGTTTTGATTGCATTCAGACGGGCTTTGCTGGTTTCCTCAGCAACCAACTTCAGTAAAGGTGGAATGGCTTCAGCACCCAGGGCTGAGCATCTCCCTGGAGAGAAATAAACTGGCTTTAAAATGTGTTATTACGTATAATCAACATGCTTTTGAATTGCTGCTTTCTACTCCCTGCCCAGCTACGGCTCTGAACACACCAGAGGGTGCAGTGTGAAGAGGTAGGACATGCTTTTCTTTTGAAGACCAAGGCTAGCTGCCAGCTGTTTATTTTTAAGAAAAAAGATCTTTCTTAGCTGTCTATATCTGCCTTGCACATCATTATTTTATTTGCACCAATTTACATAAGAATATATGAGGTACTGAATGATGGGATAAACTATTGGTGGTGGTGGGGTGCTAGATGCCCTTAAAAAAATCCTCCATTCTTTTATTTTTAAAAACACTTGAAACACTGAGATCCACTCCTGTGTTGTCTTCAGAAGCCAGGGGGACAGTTGCAGAAGAGGACTGGAACACAACTGCTGTTATTAAGAGTCTTTTATGTCTAATTACTCATTAATTACACTGAAAATTTAGCAGTTAGTATTTTCAGTGTCATGTAAGTTACTCGTGAGAACTACAGACCTATTAATATTCGTTCCTCTCCCAGCTGTGAGGAAGAAACTGACTCTAACCACAAAAAGAGTTTCCAAGTGATTCAGAGTAGCTTCGGGTATGTGGATCTTGGAGTGGTCTGGACTTGAACAGAAAATGTTCCCCCCTCTGGAGGGAGATGACGCAGGTGGGGTGGGTAAATAACTTCCTGACCTACTTCGAGCAAATGAAATGTGAAATCTGTTGCTTCCTCATAGTGTTTAGGGGGGACAGTAATAGCTGCTTGAGACATATAAAGAAGTGTCCTAATCTTGTAGTTTCCTGAAGGGCTTTAACACTGTAAGAAACTGAGGACTTGAGGGTGGGGGTGTCAAAAGTTTTGTTACTAAATTGCCTTAGAATTGGATTTGCAGGGAGTATCCCCATGGAACTGCCTCCGTCTCTCACCCTGAGGTTTAACAGTAGCAAACATCAGTGCTCCTGTTGCAGCAGCTTGGACTTCAGGATCTGTATCTTCGAGCAGGCTCACCAGCACAGGAATAACTTCATCACATTCCAGGTTCTTTCCCTCTGGATGAGTACTGCACAGAAAAGATGGTTAAGTTGCTTTCTTGAACTGCATCTGCTAACCGTGCAGCTACCCACAGCTTCTCCCCATGCCTGGACCCCTGCAGGCCTCCTCCGTTCATGACAGCAGCGCTGAAACAGTCCTCCTCTCTGTTCTCTTTGGAGCCACAATGTTCTGACTGTTAAGACAGATGGCAAGCACCACTATGCAGCCACAAAGAAAAGAAAGGGGGTATCTGTTTGTGCCTGATGTCTATTATATCTACTTGCTGATACAATACTGATGATATCATATTAACCTATGTGTGTGGGCTTAACAATTTTTAGGATATTTTTAGGTGATTTGGATTTTTTTTTTTTTTACTTTCCATGATACACTGGAGATTGATGGGCAACAGCATGTAACAGGATGTAGGATTAAATGTGCTGGTGGTCCTAACAGCAATTTAGTCAGAAACCTGACTGTTGATTTTAAAGACTTTAAAACCTGCTAAATTAGAAATCTGCAATTAATTCTTCTGCCAGATCAATTTTCTCTCTTTCTTTCCAGCCCCTTTAATATGGTGAATATTTAACATGGCCCAGCTACTGCAGGGACCTAGAATGTAGCTGATGTCCATACTCTAGGTGCCTTTCTGCTTGCTTTCTATGGCTTATTTTATCCGTATAAAATATTATCTATCTTTCTTTTCCTATAAGACCTTGCTCTGTTATAGGACATTAGGAAGTGTTTTGTGCCCACTGGTCTATAAACACCATGATCTGTGGATCTTTTTAAACTAGACATCTGTTGAGCACTTTTATTATATTTGTGATTGCAGGGCAGTGGACTTAAGTTGTTCCTTTCATCCAGTGTTCAATACACAAATTTAATATAAAGATTGCTTTTTCTGATCCATCACTGACGTATGTAGCAGCCTGTGTCAGAAAACTATTTCTGTCCGCAATCACTGGAACGTTTCCCAGGACTTTACTTTTTTTTTTTTTTGAGAGTGGCTGTCCAAAAAAATAAGAGAGTTACCTCCATAGTGGTCAGAATCTTTGTTTTCACATGATTCCTCATGCAAGAATTTTTTCTCAGCAGTATACCAGGAGAAAATCCTGATTTTACTGCCAAAACTGAGGACAAGTAGGAGGAGAAGGAATGAAGTTTCCTCATCAGCATCTGCTTTCTTGAGTGATTTATAGCAGTTATGAGTTTTAGAAGTCTTCTCATTATGTGTGCATTCAGGCTGACACCGCTTTACATGTGAAATGTGACAGCTTCAATGTGTAGTGGAACACAATTGTAAACTAATGACCTTGATTCACTCATGAAATGAATATTTTCTAAGGCTTAAGTATTACAGACAGATTTCCTTTACCCAATTTCTAACAGGACCCAAGCTGCTTTGCTTCTGATGGCCGCTGATGAGTGTGTGAGCTTTTCCTTCAGGATAGTAATGGCACCAGTTGCTAGAGCTTCAGAAGCGTCCACATGTAGACAGCTGGAGAGTGTATCTAGGATTAGCTCCTGGATTCCGTCCGACTCAGTCCTCAATTTGAATACGAGTGAGGGAATCAAACCGGCCTGCAGTATGCCAACAGCCCCTGCAGGAGGAGACAGAGAAGGAACATGGGTGAGGTGTGAGTGCATTTACTATTTTTACCTGCACTTTGAATTTCTTAATAGGATCAAAATACATGTTGTAACTCAATTCCTTACACAGATGTGGAATTGAGAGATGGAAACTACTACAACACTGCTCTGTTCATAAATGCCATCTTAGCATTGCTTCCTCTGGAAGCTTCCTCAACAGTCCTGTAAAGACATCAGCCCAGGTAACAACCAAAATGACAATTTCTCTGATGTTCCCAGTTTCCTCTGCTATAATATTTCTCCCAAAATTATTCTTGCTAAGAAAATATAGGATATATATGTATGTTTCACATTATATTCAGCCTTTCTGAGTGTCCTCAACAGGAACAGATGCTAAGAGAGGCTGAGATGTGAGCCTTTAGAGCTAATACTTTGATTCTGCACTATGGCTTCTGTAGGGGAAGTCAAGGTTTTGGAAACTGTCAGCTTCCTCACACGTTTCTTTGTAGTAATTCTGTCATGGGGAAAATTTAAATTTCGAGCTTTCCAACAGTCAGTACTCTTGCACTATCTCCTAAAAGAAACAGCACCAAAGGCAGAAAGACCGTCATTTGCCCTGCAAGTGATGTCTTTGCTATGAGCAAGGGTCTGATTTGTACCATTTCTTACACAACACTAAGTCAACACTGATACAGCAGTGCCATGGGAAAGCGGAGAGCAGAACGTACTGTCCAAGAGCAACTATGTGAAAACAAAATTCTCCAGCTGTCTCGTTGCTAAGACTGATTCTTTGGTTGCTAAGAGAAATGTGGCTCCTTTCAAAGTGATTCACATACGGTTAGATAAGGAACTTTTGTGGATGAGAGTCATCAAGGTATTTTCAAATGAATCTCCACAGTCAGGGATAAAAGGACAAGCGGGAAAGAGATTTTAATGGTCCTTGGTAGTGCTCAGGAGAAATCCCCCAACTTGTCAATTGGGTGAAAACCACGATTCTAATCTAGAGGTTATTCTGTTGTACATGTTTCTAAGGTTTTGCTAACAGTAAGTAAATTCTTGTTACCAACTTATTAGGATCCACCTTATGAATGGAAATGCAAAGAAACACCTAGGGTTGATATTATTACAGCTTTTACTCTCGCTGCTACGATTGGAGGTCCAGTGCTGTGAGAATTCAAATAAATAATAAGGAAAACCAGATTGAGACAGTTCACTGTTGAAGGCTAACAACATTTTAAAACCAAGGGTTTCTCTTCATGCCAAAAAGGCAAAGCAGGAAAGGAAAGTGAAAAAATGTTACCCTTGAAGCTGTGACTCTGTGTATTTCTGGATGAGAGGACTGGCATTTTCATGGTAAAAAACCTCTCAACCCTGTATTTATGTCCCCTGGAGAAATGAAAAGAACAAAATTCTCGAGGATCAGCTCCAGCCCATTCATACTGTCCCCATAGAAGGATGTAATAAAGGAAACCTGCACTACTGGTCTGGCAAAGGACTCTGTCAGAGAGGTCCCCGAGAAGGAGGCGAAGCTCGCACAGCTGACTCCATCACCAGCATTGATTCCCTTGCGGCTCACTAGCGAACTGCTCCCATGGAAGCAGCTTAAAGCAGTCTCAGATGACTATAAATCATGTCCAGAACTGGTTTAGCCACAATTCCCAATGGTCTTTAGAAATAGCCTATGGAAGGCAAGATTTTTCAAAGTCAACTTCTAAAACTTTTCATGAAAAGAAACTATATGGCCTGTGTGCATGAGGTTGGGATACCCAGACTGCTCTCTCAGTCACCATGCACACTTCTAAATTCTGGGATGCTGTGGAAATCAGTATAAATTCAAAATTTGGGAGATATAGTTTCAGAGGAAGATTAATGAATTGGAGGTGATACCACTGACATTTGCTGTAGCAAGCACCTGTTTATTGTACAGTTGCCAGATGATCTGTGATACTTTTGAACCAAAACCACATCTGGACTACTTGACCTTAAAGTAATTCCATTCCTTCTAGGTAAGACAACACACTGAATGTAAATAAGAGTAGCAAAGATCTGAAGTTTAAATGCCATGCTCCCCCCGAGCCTTTGTGTAGCTTTAATTCCCATTGATACCAGTCTTCCTTGGGATAGTGTCACACCACAAGCATTTCATCATATCATTTCATGAGCAAACACTTGTTCCTGCACAGAGTAGTCAGCGTTCTGGCTTGAGCCCAGAGAAGCCATTGCTTCCTTGAGTTTATCTTTCCATCTTTCTGTAACAACTATTGCTATAGCATTCTATCTATCTTTCTTGTGCTGGTAGATGTACGTTTTTCTTTCCCAGACAGGTTTCCATCACTATTTTTGCACTTGCTTTCAAATAGCCATTTTTTAACCCATCATCTTCATTTCCCTTTTTAGTTTCTTGCAATTCCCTCTTTTTCAGGATTTCCTTGCTAACTTATTTCAGTTCTCTTTATCACTTTATTGTCATATTGCCGGTAAGTACTGTCAGCATCCAGGTTTCACTTCTTTCACTGATCTTCCAATACATTCAACCAGTATATCCAACTAGACAAGACTGCTTTTCATTGGCCTTTGAGTTTGTTACTTCCATTTAATGTTTATTGACTTTCTTCAACTCAATCATCTCTCATTCATTGCATTCGCACTTCATGTCTTCTTTTGGTGGTAGCCTTTACTCTCGCACTGCAGTCCTGAGTGCAAAACACACAACAAAGTCACTTTATGCCGTTCTGTTTCAATTAGCTGGCGAGATAATGGACAGAGTGTTGTCTAGGATAGCTTTTATTTTGTGGAGCCATTAAGTAGTATTTATTCTGTGGTTAGAAATCCCCATGTAGCTAGTGGGTGCTTATTTAGTATGAACACTCGGGCTGTTCTCATTTTTTTTAAATTATGTTTTATTTTACGAGTCCAGGTCTTTGTACCAAGAGCTTTCTTATCTACTGTTTTTGTCAAGCTGTCCTATCCAAAATGCTATCATGCTGCGAATGGGAGCTTCCCGGATATAAATATAGAAACAAAGATGAATTGTTTAGCCTTGTCAAAAGTCTCAATGTGGTGAAGAGAAAGAGGGTGGAGAGGAAAGGCCATCAACAGCAACAAAAAGAGACTACCTAACATTGGGACTGAGATTTCCAGGTGGAAATTCGTCATGGTTTTCCCAAGAGAACCAAAGGGTGAAAGGTCTAGGGAGGTAAAAGGGAAAAGGGAGGAGACAAAATCAGTGGAAAGTTGTTTGAAAGTTACTTGTAAGTTAGAGCAGTCTCAGATCCTTGCATCTTACTGAGCAAGCAATAGGAGGGGAAGGTAAGCTGGTGTTTCTAGTAGTCCTATACAGAAAAATCACTAGGATCTTGACTTTTCATGAAAATACTGCCCTTTCAAAGGTGGTTTATCTATTGCAGAGAGTGTTCTAGATACCCTGGGCATAGTGAGCTAGTAGGGAAAAATGTTTGCAAATGCAAATAGTTGCATTTACAGCTGCATAGTTAACATTGCTATTGATCTGTTTTTCTGAGAACTTGTAATCTTCCCATGGGCCGCTTTTATCTGAGCACTCATCTGTTTCTTCTCATAACCCTCTGGCCACCCTCATCCTCCCTTTCCTGACTCCTTTTTCAAATAGGCCCAAAGAGGAGTTGCCATTTACTCTGTTTTCTCAGTATGGCCGCAGGGCATGTAAACAAATCAAATTTTGTAGAAGACAAAGGAGTAATTTATAGTACATAACAGTGGTGTTTTGTTTTGGTTTTCAATTACATAAATCAATTAAATCACATTACAAATCCTTTTCCTTACAAATGTCAGTTTTCAACTCAAAGCCATTTAAATGTTTGTTTTAGTATGAAGCGTGTGTCTCATGCATGGTGACAAAGTGATGTACCGTGTAGTATAGCATAGTAAAATAATATGTAAACAGGGATTCTGTATAATATGAATGTTTTGATAACACCTCAGATGTCTCTCTGAAATGTTCACACAACTATTTGAAATGCTTAGTAACAGCATTTGTACTTAAGAAGGGGCACACAAGGGAAAGAAAAGCAGAGCCAGGTACAACGCCTAGCATCGTGGCGTGCTATCGGCACGTCCAGTACACAGTGGCTGTGAAATCCCAGGACGGGAGCTCACTAACTGTGAGTAGCCAAATGATCCTGACAAAATTTCTAGACCCAGCAGATCTCTTGCTAGCACTGCAATAGTTTGGCACCGTTTTAGAGGTAACAAAGTGTTTATTAAACTAGTGAGTGCTAGCATACATTATATAAATTTACAAATGCAGCGCTTGTACAGTGTTTCCTTTCTGAGTGACAAGGTAACCACAGCAGATCCTTCCCCGGCACACCTTGCTTAATAATTCCTTGAAAAAAAAAAATAAAATTAGTCTTTAGACTCCTTAAGAAGATTTCTGAGTCGCCAGTCACAAAAGCATCGTTTGAGAACCCTGTAGTAGCTAATTTAACACTAAGATTCAGCATTTTGAGTCCCAGTGTTTCCAGCATTAAGGCTGTGTCAGGGAGTAGATTCAATGTAATACTACCACAAAACTGGGCTGGAATTTCTTTCTGTAAGTTTGGAGCAGGAGGTAGACTACATTAAATAAAATGAAACTCACCTGTTTATACCCCATCCACTTTATCAAGTCTTCTAACTGAAGAGGAAAATTCTGTTGACATCTTTGAAAGTCAGAATATTTTCCTTTTCTTTGCAATAATAATTCTCTATCTTTCAATGATAATTTAACAGGAGTAAACAATAGTGTCCTAAAGGATGCCTATGCCTAGGGACAGAGAGTATCTCTTACCCTAAAGGGCTGAGAGGTAGAAAGTCCCTGTTAAAATGAACTGAAGGGCTACTAGGATTTTGGAAAACTGAGGAAAACACTGCAGATACTGATATGGACTAGAAATAGTAAACAATTCTATTTCAAACAATTTCAGATCTGGGTATTGGCTAAATGCATTTATCCCGTGACAGTCCTAGGGATCTATCAGGTATAAAATCACAATCTCAACAGTAGTGCCTGACATATCCTCACTAAATATACGATAGCT